TGACCTCAAGCTCAAGCGCACTTGGGTTATGTAGCAGGACAATGATCCCAAACACACCAGCAAGTCCACCTCTGAATGGCTCAAGAAAAACTAAATTAAGGTTTTGGAGTGGCCAAATCAAAGTCCGGACTTAAATCCGATTGAGATGCTTAAACAGCTTGAAAACCCTCCAATGTGGCTGAATTAAAACAATTCTGCAAAGAAGAGTGGGCCAAAATTCCTCCACAGCGATGTGAAATCGTGAAAGACTAATTGCCAGTTATCGCAAACACTTGATTGCAGTTGTTGCTGCAAAGCGTGGCACAACCAGTTATTAGATTTAGGGGGCAATTACTTTTTCACGTAGGGCCAGGCAGGTTTAGACAGCTTTTTCCCCTTAATAAGATAAATAATCATTTAAAAACTGCATTTTGTATTTACTTGCATTATCTTTGTGTAATATTAAAATTTGTTTGATGATCTGAATCTTTTAAGTGTGACAAATATGCAAAAAATTAAAAAAACAGGATGGGGGCCAACACTTTTTCACACCACTGTATATACACACACTCACACACACACACACACACACACACATACATATTTAATGTTGTGCCTTTAATTAATGCTGATAATATCAGCATATATCATAAATAAAGCCAGGAGAAATGTGCATAAATGCCATGAATCTTTATGATATTATTCTGAAATGTGAATATTTTGATGTTGATTGATTAAAGCAAACACAGCACATTTACTGTCTACTGCATGCACAATTCTGAACTAATATGTTTGAACTATCAACAGAAATGTTAATAATGTAATCATTAATAATGCATGTTTAATACCATAATTAGTCTTTTTTTACATTAGAGAAATTGGATTAGTAGTGAGGAATGAGCAACATGTATTTCATTGTAATTATTTACTGACACATTCTTATTAGTCCTGTTGCTATTATGTCAGCTAATAATGTGAGTAATATGAGTACTGTAGTGAAAAATACTTGAAATTGCCGTGTAAAAATCTAAATCTGCCATTTCTTTTTTCACATTTTACCAGTAATATTTTATAATGACAAATATACGGAGATATTTCACTTTAAAAATGTGGTATGATAATAATAATAATAATAATAATAAAGAAACACCTCCAAAATATGCATTCTCTAAATGGTTAATCAATATGTTACGAGTTGTGTAGAAATGCAAATTAGCCATACACCAAGAAAATATTAAACCAATTTGTCCAATATACTGGGCTTTTAGAACCTACTATTCACTTTTTGAATTAATACTCTTATTTCCTTAATTTGCTCATTACAGTGAGAGAAAGAAACACCTCATTTTGCCCACATTAACCACATTCAGCTTCTCACAGCAAACACTGTGGCGTCATGCAAAGTGTTGCCATGTTAAATATGGGTGTGGCAGGTGCACATGCTTGTTTAGCACAATCCCATGGTGCTTCAGTTTCAGTCTAATATGTACACAAATTATAACACACACACAACTCTGACATAACAACCCGTTACCCGTCAACACTATTTAGGTCTTTACAGCAAGAACAATTGACTGACCCTATTACAGCAACCAAACAGAAGTAAACGATAAAGTAAACGAAGCGCACAGCCCACTGTTCACATGATAATGATAAATCCCATTGTGAGTTGAACCGCTATGAACCGCTTGGTTGAGCTAATGAATAACCAAGCACACTGCTACTATAATTTCAAAGCAGTATGGTCAGGTTTTGACCCATTGACCTTATTGTTACAGTGTGAATTATACAATGGTTCTCTCTTTAAGAACATCTGCAAAATGATTGAATCTAAATGTAAAGGTAATTTTCAAGATATAGTCTGTCTCATGCAATTTTTTGGGGCCACTAGTCAATTGACTTTAATAAACACTCAAGGTTTTGGAGATCCATTAAAGACAATTCAATATATAATGAAGTCATACATAAAGACAGTACCTACAGTTTATGGAACCCCTGACAAAACTTATGTAGCTATATTTGTATAAGACACACATCTTTTGTTCGGACTTAAGGTTCAAGTGTTAATTACACAGGTGGTTCTGTGTGCACTACGTAGAAAAGACTAGTGGCTGGCTATTACAGAGTGATCATTTTCCATAAAATATAATGAATATTTTAATTACAAATATCACTAGGATCAAAGTAAGTCTACAGATTGTCAGACTCGGGACTTACCTGTAGTTAGCGAATTCATCCTGTACTAGGGCCACATAATTAGCAGGGACCAGTCCGGACTCCAGGGACCCCGTCAGCTTCTTGGCAAATACATAATCTCCCCTCTTTTCTATGACAGACAGTTTGTCCCCCTCTTTCACCGTCAGCTCTTCCTCACTGCGGGCTTCGAAGTCGAAGAGAGCCGCGTACAGCTGCGCCGGCTTCTTCTTCGGAGCCGGGATCCGGATATCACCCGAAACCGTGCGGATCTCGGCCGGACGAGAGATGTTCGGATAGTAAAACTCGGGCCATATGCAGTCCCATAACCTCTTCATGCATGGCATACAGCTGCGACAACACTTCTCCATCCCAGCCCTCGCTTTCTACGGACTCCAGGGTAGCCAGAATATCTGGCAGCTGTCCACGGTTGAAATTGAAAATAAAAGAGGTGTGTGGGTCCCTCACCGATGGTGACCGACCGTCCGTAGCGATTCTATACCGGGATCCCCTTTGTTGAGCTAACGCGCTGGCCGCGATCATAGCGGAGGATCAGGTGAAACCGGTTCTGTCTCGGGATGGATCACAAAGGTATGCGGAAAAGACATGCTTTTATAGTTCAACGAGACATTAAGACGAGGAGAGGATGTTGTGGTTGAAGTATCTTGAAGAACATCCTCTTTTCATCTAAATGTAGGCTCTACTCGTTCATGATGTCCCTCTTCTCTGATAATGACCGGCCTCTATCTGTCCGCTCCGGAGCAAAACGCTTCGCAGTATGTGAACCTGGCTGCGAGCGAGCGTGTCTCCTGTAGAGCCTTCATCTGTTCACTAGTCGAGCGCACACTTGGAGCTGGAAACCAGTATCCGTTTATTTTTAGATTCGCCTAATCGTGCAAATCTGACATCTCCGCAAATATGTGCTTTTATTCAAATCTGAGGATGCTCATTTGCGTGCATATCATGTGAATAAGTAGGCTAGTTGGAAAAGAATACGATTCTAGCCTATTCGTTTTTACCACACGCACACATGTATGCCCACGTTTATTATTATTATTATTATACACGACGGGGACTTCCAGTTTACACGTAGCCCTATTGTTTTCAATTATTGTGCTAATGATATTTCCTAAACCAGTGGTGCACAGCAAATATTGGGCGTTTGTATTACTGTTTAAGATTATTTTGGGCAGTTTAGATCTTTATCTCTTAATGGTTTTCTCATTTTGTGTATTCTGAGCTAAAACATTTTCTGCTAAATGTATAGGTTTTTGTCATTTAGAAAGAATAGTGGTTACCGAGGTTACTGGAGATGTATATTAGCTATAAATCGCTCACTAAATATATTTTGGCGTCACATAAAATGAAAGGAAGGAGATGCTGTAATAGAGCTCTGTTCTAAAAACTGTAGAATGGCAAAGACGTCTTCATGTACGCGAACCAGTAACCAACAATGTTTCCCGCCCAAATATACAAATCTTTTCTGAGCATCTTTGTGAAGTAAAAACACATTAAAATTGCCACCTTGACGCGACTTCTATGCGGGGTTATATCGCTCTAATATATACAGGTGCATCTCAATAAATTAGAATGTCGTGGAAAAGTTCATTTATTTCAGTAATTCAAATCAAATTGTGAAACTCGTGTATTAAATAAATTCAGTGCACACAGACTGAAGTAGTTTAAGTCTTTGGTTCTTTTAATTGTGATGATTTTGGCTCACATTTAACAAAAACCCACCAATTCACTATCTCAACAAATTAGAATATGGTGACATGCCAATCAGCTAATCAACTTATTTCATTTATTTCAGTAATTCAACTCAAATTGTGAAACTCGTGTATTAAATAAATTCAGTGCACACAGACTGAAGTAGTTTAAGTCTTTGGTTCTTTTAATTGTGATGATTTTGGCTCACATTTAACAAAAACCCACCAATTCACTATCTCAACAAATTAGAATACTTCATAAGACCAATAAAAAAACATTTTTAGTGAATTGTTGGCCTTCTGGAAAGTATGTTCATTTACTGTACATGTACTCAATACTTGGTAGGGGCTCCTTTTGCTTTAATTACTGCCTCAATTCGGCGTGGCATGGAGGTGATCAGTTTGTGGCACTGCTGAGGTGGTATGGAAGCCCAGGTTTCTTTGACAGTGGCCTTCAGCTCATCTGCATTTTTTGGTCTCTTGTTTCTCATTTTCCTCTTGACAATACCCCATAGATTCTCTATGGGGTTCAGGTCTGGTGAGTTTGCTGGCCAGTCAAGCACACCAACACCATGGTCATTTAACCAACTTTTGGTGCTTTTGGCAGTGTGGGCAGGTGCCAAATCCTGCTGGAAAATTAAATCAGCATCTTCAAAAAGCTGGTCAGCAGAAGGAAGCATGAAGTGCTCCAAAATTTCTTGGTAAACGGGTGCAGTGACGTTGGTTTTCAAAAAACACAATGGACCAACACCAGCAGATGACATTGCACCCCAAATCATCACAGACTGTGGAAACTTAACACTGGACTTCAAGCAACTTGGGCTATGAGCTTCTCCACCCTTCCTCCAGACTCTAGGACCTTGGTTTCCAAATGAAATACAAAACTTGCTCTCATCTGAAAAGAGGACTTTGGACCACTGGGCAACAGTCCAGTTCTTCTCCTTAGCCCAGGTAAGACGCCTCTGACGTTGTCTGTGGTTCAGGAGTGGCTTAACAAGAGGAATACGACAACTGTAGCCAAATTCCTTGACACGTTCTGTGTGTGGTGGCTCTTGATGCCTTGACTCCAGCCTCAGTCCATTCCTTGTGAAGTTCACTCAAATTCTTGAATTGATTTTGCTTGACAATCCTCATAAGGCTGTGGTTCTCTCGGTTGGTTGTGCATCTTTTTCTTTCACACTTTTTCCTTCCACTCAACTTTGTGTTAACATGCTTGGATACAGCACTCTGTGAACAGCCAGCTTCTTTGGCAATGAATGTTTGTGGCTTACCCTCCTTGTGAAGGGTGTCAATGATTGTCTTCTGGACAACTGTCAGATCAGCAGTCTTCCCCATGATTGTGTAGCCTAGTGAACCAAACTGAGAGACCATTTTGAAGGCTCAGGAAACCTTTGCAGGTGTTTTGAGTTGATTAGCTGATTGGCATGTCACCATGTTCTAATTTGTTGAGATAGTGAATTGGTGGGTTTTTGTTAAATGTGAGCCAAAATCATCACAATTAAAAGAACCAAAGACTTAAACTACTTCAGTCTGTGTGCATTGAATTTATGTAATACACAAGTTTCACAATTTGAGTTGAATTACTGAAATAAATGAACTTTTCCACGACATTCTAATTTATTGAGATGCACCTGTATACCCGGCTGTATCTCCCAGCCTCACCAGCAAAGAAAGTGGCCAAAACCCCTCTAAAACCAGCCTGCTGAACAGCTATGACCAGGCTGGCTTAAGCTGTTTTTTTTCAGGGTAATTGGATTAAAACTGTGGGATGTATATTACATTGTGAAGTAAACAATATATTTTATAATATGTCATATAATTTACTCAGCCCCTCCATATCAGGCCAGTGCTTAACCCTATTCCTGCATTTCTGAACCACACATGCATTAAAGTCTTCCAAGTGGGCCATAATAATAAAAATCAAGATGCCTCAATAAACTGACATTGAAGCACTAGAGGAAATGGCTTAGTCTTTGAATATTGTCATGGACGATGGGGGATCAAGATCAACGAGCCTGAGAACTACTGATTAAGTTCTTATGAAGCCGTTTTCATCATGATGACCAATGTAAGCGGTTTCAGGTTTTACTTAGTTAGCAAAACCAGACCCACACACAAGCACAGACAAATATATTTGATGCTGATTCGAAATAATTTTTCCTTAGAAGGAGGAAAAAAAATACAGCTGCCAGGTTTGATATATAGCACACGGTTTTATTAGTATATTTAGCTTTGTGACGTACAGCTTGGGAGAAAAAAAAAGTCACATTGTCATGTCCGTGACATTTTAGCAGTGACATCCCACTGGAGAAAGCTTGATCTCAAATCATTGGTTTTCATTAATGAAAGTGATATGTTAGGAGCCGCCCATGCTGTTTGCATTAAACAACAAAAAATGATTTTTCACTCAATCTTTCAGTTTCTTCACATATGTTTCAACACTTTTCTAAAGAATTAAAATATTTAGCCACATGTACTGAAAAAGTATTCACTGTTATATATATAACACAATAAATATATAAAAAAAGGATTTATTTTGTATATATTATGGTATTAAAGTGGGAAATGGGTTGCCCATAGGACTTCTTTTTCAACTATAAAACAGCAATCATTTACCTGAGGTTTTCACTCTGCTGTTCTTGTACTCTAATACTTGATGGCTGCACCCGACGAAGGGTGTGATAATGGCTTTTAATCATTAAGGAACAGACGGCCATGTTGTCCCTAATGGTCAGAAGAAAAGATTGATTTACAACAAGCCTTCTTCAATTTGTGTATCTGTTGACAGCAGTTAAAGAAAGTGATTGGGGTCAGTGATGGCGGTCTCCCAGACAAAAACATGGTCTTGTCTTACTGTTAAATGCATGGAAAGTGCTGCAAGTCCCATTTCCCTTCACTATAAAAGGAATCAGATCAAATTAAGCAGTGCCTGAAAAGAAAAAGGGAAAGCATCTGAAATAAAAACAACAACAAAATGAGGACAACAACAAAAAAGAAAGAGAATCTCAAAAATCTGTACATGTAAACATCACACTTCCACTGAGTCCAAAATGAGAAGGAAAGAGACAGTTTCACATTGGTATTAAGTACATATCAAAACCAGAGCTGACGTCAGCAGCTTCTTATACAGGAGAAATCAGGAGGAAACCGAGACGGGACGGTAAAGATCCAAAGCACCAACAAATTAGAAAAGAGAACAGACTAAAACGGGGGAACCACATGAACTTGAACGCAGCTGTACACCACTGTGGTAGAAAAATAAAAGTCAAGTTGTTTTTTCTTCTTTCATTTCTTTTTTTTGTGTGTGTGTGTCAGAGCTATACATCTGATCAAACCAGAGCATTTTCTTAAGATGTGTAGTTTTGCAGCAACCATAACCAGCGTCACACCTGAATGCAAAGCCTGAACCCGTATACGTCCGTCTGTGTGTTTGTGAGTGATGCCTTTGAAATATGACAGGTGGCCTGTTTAGTTGTACACAATATCACAGTAGATTGCGGTGCTGATTGAACCAAAAAAGACACCTTGAAGGAGCTCTGAGGTACCTTATGAGCTTCGGGAGGGTTTCTAATACAGTAAAGGGACATATATATTTATATATATATATATATATATATATGACAATCAGTTCGGTTAAGGCGCTGTAACTAATCAGAAAACATAGTTTCCCAAATATCTTGGTCATACAGTACAGAGATAACAGTTCTTTGGGGGTTGTGGCGCAAGGGGAATCAGGCCCTCAATGTAACTAACACTTTAAAGCCTGTGCGGCGTGGGACTGATTTTGCCCTCGGTGTGTGTATCTGCAATCCGATGTGACCGTGGTTTGGCTGGCTGCTTGGCATGTTGACATCCTTGTTTGGAATGTTATAGGCATACAGGACAAACTTCAAATGGGATGTCGGTACAAAACGGTTCTGAAAAGACCACTTGCGATACAAAAAGAATTACAAAATAATAGTAATCGAGATAATTATAATAAAAATAGGAATCAGATAAAAAGGTTTTCGACAGTGGGCCAACAAGGCGTCTTCAGCGGCTAGCGTGAGAACTCGGA